GCTTTAGAATCATCTCTTCACACGGGTCTTATGAAAAAGCGAGTTTGGCTTTCTCACTTATCTTTGCAGTAACTTTTACCAATTTGCATAACAACATTGTAAGAGATTATTAGATATTCTCATGCTTGAGTAAATGATTCCACTTTCTGGTTGGGGTACTCCCTGGCATTTACTGAACTCACTTCTGCGTACTTTGCTTGGGCAGACCACCACATGAAACGTTTTCAGGAGAACGAACCTGCTCAGGAGTCAACAATAATGTTGGGCCTGTGGGAAGAGGCAGTGAGGAACGTTTTGCAGGATAAGCAGAAGACGGCGATGACTTTGTAGAAGGCTGAGATGAAGGCTGTGAAAGACAAAAGAGCAGAGCTCGAGTTTAACAAAAGAACTGAAGCAGACATCCAGATGAGAGAGCTACAAAACATCTTTGTCAGACCAGACAACTAGGCATTAGCTTCTCATAATCAATGCTCCCAGGGAATTTGTTGAGCAAGGTCTGTTTACAAGAATAAATTTAATGGCTATTTTGTAATGAAATGAGGCTTGGAATTCACATGACTTGCAAACCCATTTAAAAGATAATTCCATCACAGGATAAAGTGGGAATGGCTAAGAACAGGCTATCTCCTTGAGCTCTTAAGCCATCTAACAACCAAGAGTCCTTCCTAAAGTGCACTGCAATTTTACAATGAAGGATAGTTTAGAATGTGATCACACTTGGAAACAGAGGAAACGTCTGGGGAGTTAAGTCTGGGTCTCTACAGAAAATGAACTGCAAAGGTCTTCTGGATCGAAAAGCTGGAACACTTTGTCTGCAGAAAGCTCCACTTGCATCGCATTCGAACTGCCTGCTGTATTAAAAAACCCAAACCCAAAACCCAGCCTGCACAAGACTACACACTTCAAGTCCTTCACTTCCTACAGACTGAGCTAATAATTGTGTTCAGGTCTGCTGTTGCTGAGATCAACAGAAGGTGTGCCACTGATTTTAATCGGCAGATACATATGGCAGACAGAATTGTCTCTACTGTACTTGGTGAAAAAAAAAAATCATTGTCTGTCGAGAGCTTTCTCCACACAGCTTGTTCAAACAACCTTTAAATACATAAGATTTTGTGAACTCCACTATTCAACCATCAAATCAGACTCGGGATAAACCTGCATCACTCCTGTCTGCACTGATTATAGACATCTAACTCTGTAATTGCAAGGTTCCACCCTGTGGTGGGTGGCTCTCACACTTCCCAAAACTCTTGTGAAAACTCTCTAGCAGAAAAAAAAAAAATCTGGAAAGAATGGCCTGAAAACATGTACTGTATTTTCAGTTGATGTCAAACGCTCAAGCCATACTTACACCTGATGTCCTAGATGCTACACGATGACGCTTATAGACACATGCTTAAATTAACATTTATTGTTTAAAGGCTGTGCAAAACACTAGAGGAATATATAGACAATATTTTCTTATAGATTTCTACCTCTCTCGGTTTAATTTTAAAGGCAGATAATACTCATATTCTGAACAGTACAAGTTGCTTTGAAAATCTTACTCAGTTTAGTTGAGGCCTTCAGAATGTGACAAGTTTGGAGCACTTAGCTCTCATTCATTTTGAGGTAAACAGCATGCTCTGTCCTTTACACATTCTGAAAATCTCAAGAGAGATGCTTCCTTTTTTGAGAATATATCCACTAATCTGTGGTTTGAAATAAAGTAGACTACTATATAGGCGAGGTTTCTGTGTTGTTATCTTGGCTGTTATAATTGAAACTGATTCCTGCTCACGTGCTTAAGTAGGTTGGTCATATTCTGCCCTGGAGCATTTAAACAAAAAAAAAAACCAAACCAAACCAAACATGCCTGCTTTGTCTTCAGACAATTAACACATCCTGTTTCTGATTTACAACAGTTATGAAGTATCCTTGTGCATCCCCACCTTAAGTCCTCCTCTGCTGGCATCAGAAGATGGAAACTCCACTCCTTTCTTCAGCAATTCTAGATAAACTTCTTTTACTTCACTCACATCCACCATTCCTTGGAAACCTTGGGCCCACGTCTAGTTTTGAAATAACAGGAACAATAACAGTCAGAGAAATGGACAGGCAGTGGGTCAGGCAAGTGCTTCTAAAAACACACGGTCCTAAAGGCAGGTCATTCCCTCCGTCCGCTCCAGCTAACTCCATCCAAAGCAGCAGGAACCACTAAAGCTCTGAAGTTACCTTTCATCCTGCTTGCTAAGTTGAACCACAGAGGGAGCATGTGCACAGACTGGGAGGGAAATATAAAAGGTGGAGGTCAACAGTTTTCCAGTTCTCTCCCTTGGTCTTCCAGTCTGTGCTACTTCCGCATGAAGCAGGAGCAGCAAGAATAAAGTCTGCTTTAGGAAGAGGTTCCCATGAGTATGTTACAGGACAGAAATGGGCTGCATCATTAGATGTTTACCATACAGCAGAGACACAAACACTGTTTACTCTGGACTTACCCTGATAAAGGTCAAGATTCTCTCCTGCATGTCAATTGGCAGATTGTATCTTGGATTCAGTAGTTTCACCAGCTTGTCTTTACAGAAATCTTTCTTCACAACTAAAGACTGGAATCTGGGGCCACAGTTCTCTATACACATATCAAGCAGCTGCACACACAAAAAGCTTCTGTTACACAGATATTAGGAAAAAAAAAAACCAACAACTTGACTGCTTTTGTTTCCTTTTATTTAATTTGTTCCAAGGTGTTATGGGGAAGAGTACAAATGAACAGATTATTGCCAGCTAGCTCACTAGAATGTCTGATGAGGTTACTACAGGGGAACGGTAGCTCACTGTGTGCAGTTATACCTATGCAATACACAATGAGATGTGTTAGCCAGAGTCACACTATTTGTAACAGAGAAGTATGGTCACACTTGTTTCCATGTCATAGCACTTACTGAACTACAGTACCTTAACAGCATGAAATCTGTCTATAGCTTAAAAAACGACTTGTACAGATTGAGTAATAGAATTAATTCACTGCTTAGCACATAGGTACCCTGGTCTGACAGATTCTGAAGAGCTCTACAAGAGAAGAAAATAAGATTACTAAATGCCTTTCTTCTAATCTGCCCTGTAAGTGAGAGACTAATGAAAAAATAGAAAAGGACAAATTCAACAACTTAAGAGTACAATTTCTCCATGTGTTTTAAAGGTCACATTGATTTGAAACAGAATAGCTGAATTGTTCCAATTGTCAGATTAATCTTCACAAAAGAAGTGTACTTCCAAAACTTTGCTTGGAATGCTCAGAGTAGAATCCCTGCAAGCAATGTGTCTGCCCTATCAAATGCAGCAGTATGTGATAATGACATAATACTTCTCTCTCGTACACTTGGAGGTTGCTGGTTACAATTCCCATTTTACATAGGAGATATCAAAAGCTGTCACTACGTCCCAGTCATCTGAAATCAGGCCAACACAAGTTTTGATGAGAAAAAGGGGTCAGTCAGATCAGGTGCAGAATCAGGAATGGAACTCGTCTTGCCTGGCTCAAATCAGGAGATTGACCACAGGACTACAATGCCCCATGTAGAAAAAAAAAGTCACTCTTGTGCTTTTTGCTCTTCAACTGTGCCTTTACTTTCCCTCTCAATTTAAGAGGGGAGATGGAAATGTGAAAAAAAAAGGTAGAAAATAATAAAAGTTCACAAAATTACACGTGTTTTGAGACGAAACCTCCTCTGAATCATGCAACAGACAGAATATATTCTCAAAAGGATACACAGAATTTAAAGGACACTATTGTAATCTTGATAAAAGTAGGTTAAATATACTTTCCTATTCAGAGCAGACTATATTTGACTAAGTTGAAATAATTTTAGTAACTCATTTTCTAGCCTCAGGACTTGGGGATTTTTCTCCCAGTGTGATCAGGAACTCATGGGACAAGAGGTTTAAGACCAGAAGAAAACATACTGCTGAAAAGAAAACAGGGTAGAACAAAGACACTGGCAGACTGCTGTGCAAAACCCTAACTGGGAGATAATTACAAAAAAATCTTGGCTTGAATCGTTATTTTTCATTTGAAAGAGTACATGAAACATATGCTAATAAACCAAGTCATTTGCCTGTGCAGTACTTCAAAGATGGTCTGTGTAAAACATTTTCAACCCAGTGCATGGGAAATTTGGTATGCTACTCCCTATTATTAATTCTCTACTTAAGGGACTGAGTATTTATGCTCTGAATTAAAGTACTGAACGAATGGGCTAGATCCTCCACTCAATTATGCCTGCACCCTACTCAGAGCAAAACTAAGCTGGTGTAAAAAAAAAGAAAAATTTGACTCTATTTTTAACTGGACCATTCATGAACAAGCCACTTTCATGCTAATACCCCCTTTCATTAGAATTTCAGTATGGTTATTTATCCTTGCAAATAAGACTTCACCTTCCCAAGCAGTTCCATCGGAATGCACAGATCCAGGGCGGCCAAGTCAACCACTGTTCCACAAAGCACAACGGAATCTCAGTAGAAACATGTTTTAATAACAGAAAGGGCAAATTAACTTCAACCAAATCATTAAACTTCCTCTCCATGACAGACAGGACCTGAGAACTGTTGGAACTGACAGAGCTGCTATGAACAGAGGTGAAGACAAACTGTAAGGCAGAAACAAAAAGCAGAGAAGGTGGGTATAACAAAGTCAACTACATTCCTAATCTGTAGAGACCTCTCTCAGAATTCAGTAGGACTGTCTGCTCATCTAAAGCAGCCCAGGTACGGTCCATAAAGCTTTGACGAATGGATGTAGTTTGGGACAGAAACTTCTCAGAGCTAAGGTGAATGCAGGAAAGCACAGCTGAACAGTTTGCTTCTTCGTATTTCTGACTCAGAGGAACAGGTCATTAATCTATCTCCAGGATCACACTCTACTAAACATACACTGATGCCTATCCCGTAGAGTTCATGAACAGCAAGACACTATTTCCAAGGGCCAGCATTTAAAAGAAATCTGTACGAGCAGCTTTTTCAGCTGCCATTCAACAATCACAGCGCAGTGGCTACATAGACTTTAACATGATTCTGTATTTCAAAAATACTAATTTTTCATAAGTCTTGAATTTTTCAAATCTTATATATACACAAATATATATATAAAAAACCACTGCAATATAGATTTCTCTTGCTTCCCCTCAACATCCTTTTATTTTCCTTTTTGCCCATATATACCATAAAGTGTAATAAAATTGACTAGGACTTTTTTGACTGAGGAGCTGGAGGACTCTCTCATGCTTTTGTTTTTTAGATCCTCTGCTTTGTGAAATGTTAATTTAACAAAGGAAGATCTGAAGGCCACATTTGTCATGCTAATTTTTTTTTTTTTTTTTACATCTGAAAACTTACAGACTATTAAAAGGAAAACCAGAAAAAAACCTAAGGCAAAAAAACCCAAACTTCAAAATTTACATCTAACCAATGACTTCCTTTAAAATATTTTCCATCAACGTAATGCAGAAATGAAACAATAATTCCATCTTAAATTTCTGCCCACTGCTTTGCACGCAAGAGTGCGTGTGTGGACACAGGTACAGTGGGGGACACATTAAATACAGTACTTCCCCAGGGGCTGTTCAATTCCCAAGACCTTACAAGCATCAGAACTGGGGGCACTGCAGTAAATGCTTTACAAAACCAAGGGAGATCTACAGAGACAACTGAACAGGTGTCTCAGCCTTCGCTATAAAACCAGAGTTTACATATCTAAAGTCTATCAGTAATAAGGAGTCAAACAACACATACACACTTTGTTGGATTCCTGCCTAAAAGTTCTAATCCTCTTCGCTCCAATGGCGAAATCGCCACTGCTAAGCCTGATCTCTTGGCTTTATCAAAGACTGCATGAAGCAACTTCATGGCCTGACACACCTCAATCCATGTGACTCCACAAGCACCAGGTAACTTCACTAGATCAGAGTACATGAAGTTAAACCATAGCCAACATGTTACACAGCTGGCACTCACCTTTCTTCCTCCAAGTAAATAAATAAGCACCTATGAGCCAGGAGGAGGAAGACAGTGTTGAGACTTAACACATCTCGATGACAGAATCAGGGCTAACACGTGCAGTTGTGCTGCTTCACATGAAGACTTTCACATTTCACTCTGTGTGTATTATCTGGGAATAAGCTCCTTAAGCAGTTTCATTAGAAAGATTAAGTTCCAGAATTAAAAGGTCGAGTAAATAAAAGTGGATCAAAGTACATTTCAAAAGAACAGTGATTTGTAGATCACGTAGTTGTATCTAATGCAGGTAGGAGAGACAATTTCATGTAGAGTCTCCAAAGCTGGAGGACCACATTTACTGTGGGAAACACAGGCAGTAATTTACAGTTCATCAAAAAGAGAGCCCTTATTGCCGTATACATTTGCAAGAAAAACAATTTTTAAGAGATAAGAGGTGCATGGGGGGGGAGGACATGTGTTTTAGGAATTGAAAATTATTTATGTCCTGACATTTGCAATGATTTGCTGTTCCAATCTCAGCATTTCAAAATGGGAAATAGGAACAATTTCACTCAGGCAATCAAGAAGTCAAAAAGAAGATATAGCACATAGAAAGACTGATTTGGGAACAAAGGAGTTAAAAGTCATACATGGTCAGCAATGATGTCGTCAAAGGAATGGTTTTACATCTACTAAACTGATGGCGGTACTGGTAGAAAACCAGAAAAAAGAAAGGAGCCAGGGGCAGAGGGAGAGGCAAAGGATGGAAGATCTTACATAAGAACAAAAGCAGGAAGAGAAGTGGCACTTATTAAAAAAAAAAAAAGAAAGAAAAAAGAAAAGAAGAAGAACAAAAAAAGATTAAGGAACTCAGGGAGAAGAAACCTGCAGACAGAAAACAGAAGCTGGGCCAAAAGGATGTGATTGCCTGGCAGGCACAGTTACGTGCGTATGAGTGGGTGAGAACAGACACGGAGAAGGGACCTGGAACAGTAAAGGGACCGTGAGAAAGCACTGAACTACAAGCACAACTGAAACCAGGTACACACTCCATCTGCGAGCAAATACAATGAGCTTCCAGGTCAACATGATAAAGCTCTTCCTTGGATACACCTGAAACAAGATCCTTCTCGCACTTTTATGTTCTTAAGAGCTAAGCTATAATGTCACCTTGGGTATATCTGCAGAGTAAACATCCAAAGAAAGGCTCCTAAGTCTAAGCACTGGGTTATCATAACTCCGATTCACTGTGTCAGAGACTCAGAAAAGGACCCAGGTGCACAAAGACTGTAGGAGAAAGAAAGCAGATCTGATACAGGGATTGCAATTACACCGGAAACAGAGTGTTTCTGTTATGCAAACACACAAAAAGGTGACTCATGAGACAGTGGCAGAGGAAGCCAAGAAAGAAGTGTGGAAATGGAATGAGCTGAAGGTATACATCGGTATGCTTAACAGATTTATCTGCATCTCTAACTTGTCAGGAGACACTTGGGCAATTGCTAAGTGACCTACAATTTGACACTATCAATCACCTACCTTCCTTAATCACTTCTCAGCACATATAGATAATGATTTTGCACAACAAATACCAAATCCATGAGTAATAGTACTCAGTGTAATGCAGACAGGTCTCTACAACCTCAATAAAGGAAACAGTGAAGAAAATACTTCTATACAAATAATGAGACACAAATCCCTAACAAAATACAAATGGTATGACTCTTCTTGCAGTTGCACTATTGATAGTCAAGAGTAACTCAAGTGGGCAACTCTGAACTTATGACAGCGTTAGGAACTTCCTGCTACTGCCTACGTTACCAGAGTAGTGGAAAACAGAGAACTATGTTAACATACTCCAGTAAATCAAATTGGCTGAAATCACAACGCTTCCCCAAACTCTGGGATAGTTCAGAAAGACTGTCAGATTCTGGAGGCCAAGTTATCTCAAATGAGGATATTCCCAGTCACTCCGACCTTTAGTCGTAACATCTGAATCTTACACGGCTTATCTTGTGTCTTGCTCCCTTGCTGAACTCACCATTATTACCCTTCCGTTTCAGTTTCTCATTTACACACGATAACGCTTACCTGTGCGAAACAGGTATCACACATTCCACCACGCTGCGTGCCATGCTTAGTTTAACTAAGACCACTACCACAAAGTGAGTAACAGAATGGTCAAATGTAGCTTTTATGTAATATCCCAACCTCCATATCTTTCACCAACAAGTGGGGCACTCACAGAGGGACAGTAACTGGAATAAATAAGAACTATACTACTTTTACACAGCATAAATTAAAAAAAAAGCAACAATAAATATAATAATTTGTGTCATCCAGGACTCTACGGAACACCAGTAGATCATCTGATCCGCGCTGTGGTAGTGCTGTACACACAAACAACAAAGACAGAAAACATCCCGGAGAGTTGTGTCAGTGATAATTTGCATGCCACCTTATCGTTTAAAATGTTTTCCTTCTTAGTGTCTAATTAATACAAATATAGCTGTACTTACAGACAGGGTAAGCCTGATCTCCTTATGGTTACAGTTTTTTGAAAGCTTTTTCTTTAGTGCTTTAACTGCATCTTTAGGCCTGTGACAAGAAATTAAGTAGAAAAAGTTACCAGTGAAGTTAGACTGTTTTTCTAGTTCGTAACTTCATCCAGGAGTCAAAAATACCAACCTGAGATCCAAGGCTAAATTTCTCCCTGTATTTACATCCACATAAAACTAGAGCAATTGGCCCACTGATTTCAGCAAAACCACTTCGGCACTGAGCTAGAGTAACACAGCAGTGAATCAGGTTTGTTACTGCAGACTGTGCATTACTCCAGAGACATGTGCAGACAAATAAAGTTATTCTCCTCGGCAGAGTCTCCTCCAAAATTCTATTATTTCACTGCTGTACAATAGATTTACTTATCTAGCTTTTATTGGTATGAAAGGGAATAACAATTGCCAGCTGTATCAAAGTTGACTGGTACCTATTTTTCCACGTATGATGCAATTAAAAGTATTCTCCTGGGAGTGCTGTCAGGAGTAGGGGTGTCTTGGCTAAGTTCCAATCTTACAATTGCAGGATGCTTTTAATTCATCTGGGTAATTATCATGTATGGATGGACAACCCATTCCACCCCAGAGATAGTGGCATTTCTAGCCCAGTCATTTTGATTTCTATATATACACCCCGTATCTTTTAACTATCTGTGCAGGAGGAAAAGGGTGGAAGACAGTATCAAGATTATCACATGTGGGAAACAGTTTTGCCTGATTAATATGGGCTATCTATAGTGTACAATTATTAGGGCCAACTCAATGCTCATGGACAACAAAAACAAGATGTCCTAAAGTCTCTTTACGATCTCTCTAGAAACTAAGATGGAGCAATAGGCATAAATACAATGTTTCAATAGAAAAAAGACATCTTTGTTGAAAATATTAATATTTCAAAGCCAATGCAATTAAATGGGTATTTACCATTACTACGTTTTTCCGTTTGAAATGTTATTGTACTTCATCAGAAAAAAAAAAAAAGAGATTTATCTCTTTTTCTTAATCCTACGTCATACCCAGTCATACTAGTAGCACATCAAGTAATGGATGGGAGCATGAGAGCAAAGAAAATGTTCCCTTCCAGAAAGCTGTACTACTACTATTCCACTCCGGCTTCTCACTTCTCTCAGTGAAGCATCTGGAAGTGCTCTGGTCAGGAGCTGGATATTGCATTAAAATAACTATTGGCCTAATTAGATACAGCAGTTCTGCTGTTCCTAGTATCCTGTTACAGACTGCGACTAGTAGTAGTTGCCTAGAAGGAAGTTACAAGTTCCTCTGTAAGCATAAGCTGTGCACAAGAGGAAATAGTTTATTAAAAAAAGCTCTGTTGCACAGAAGCTCCCCATAAAAACGAATGCTGAGGGTCAAAGCGTGCTGTTGCTTATGGCAACGACCAGAAGGGAGTTACTACTGACCTTCCAAGCTCTGAGAGCCATGGGTGAGCGTATGGGATCCAAAAAAATGAAAGGAAGGAAAAGCTGATATAAAAGAAGATACTTGTGCAGAAACTAAGGCATACCTCATTGTCCTGGAAAAAGCTCTCCAGTCGGTGATAAAATATGCCACTGCTAGCAGTGAGTTCTCGCAATGCAACGCTGAAGCAGATCTTAGACGTGAACAAATTTCCTTCTCCCCCTTTTACAGGTAGGAACGAGGCAGCACAAAGCAGCAAGTGACCAAGCAAACCAGAGCGTGGCCGATCGGTGCAAGAGGCCACCTCTGTCCCGGGAGCCCCAGGTACACGCCTGGATCCCACGGATCCCACGGATCCCACTGAACAGAGTTTTAGCCAGCGCTTCGCTCTTCTGCTGTCTTGTAGGTTGGCTGAGAAATCACATAGTGGGCAACCCCGATTAAGTTAAAAGCACAGAGTTTTAAACAGTGTTGTAGGCAACCAAGTGCTCATGGTCTATTTCCAGGCAGGGTTTTGCAGAGCACGGGGGCACCCGCTTGGCCTGACGAGCGGCACAGGTTACAGGGAACATGCCAGGCTCAGGCGAGGCGCCCGTGTTATCACCTTTCTCCAGCACTGTCTATGGGGAAGAGCCTACAAGTTCTAATCCCTGCAAGCCCTGACAGCTGAGCAAGAGGCACCGAAACAGGCAAAACTCTTCCCCAGGAACCAGAGACACCTGCTCCTTGCTGCTGTTTCGTTTTAGGTAACTTTACATACACATCGTATGCCACCTGCTCAGTTTTGCCCTGCCCTCGAGCAACGCTGGTGCTACCGCCGAGACGAAA